ACCATAACACAAAAACATCAATTCTTCTACAGTCTTCCTTATTCACTGTTCAGCTTTCACATGCATATGAGGTTATTGAAAATACAATGGCTTGGGTCAGGCATATATTAATCTTTAAGCTGACATCTTTGCTCTTCAACACTTTAAAAAGGTCTTGTGCAGCAGATTTGCCTAATGCAATGCCTCGTGTGATTTCTTAACTGCTGCTTCCATGAGTGTTGATGGTTGATCCAAAAAAAAAAGGAAGTCTTTGACAACTTCAGTCTTTTCTCCATTGATAAGAATGTCAACTTCAAGCATTCCTTAATATTCATTATTTTCTGTAGTAATTCTGTAACCCAATACTTTGATCACCTTGAAAATAACATTTTTTAAAAAAACAAAACACATTGTATCCTAAGGTCCTATGCTTCTAGTCCAAAGCCTATTTTCACTTCAAGCTCATGGAATTAATTAAATGTAAATTTAATTAATTTTGAGTTTGCGCTGTTCCTGGTTGATAAACCCAAGTATAATGATCAAGCTAAAAAGTTTCTTATAAGTATAAAGTGAAGACATTTTTGTCTACTTACAATACTGAATGTCTGATAATAATAACCTAATAACAACAGAACAATGGTTAGATTACTTCCCTATGAATTTGCTTTTATTGTTCTGACATCTTAAGTGCTATTGCCTTTTAAAAGTTATAAAACTTGTACCTGGATTTTAAAAACCATTTCTGAAAAAATATTTACCAGTTTTTACTGTAGATACCTTTGGACTTTGCCTGTTAGGGTAAATATCAATTTGACCTCAAGCAGGAGAATTGTACTTTTTACCACTGCCCTCCTGATTTTGCAATTAATAATAAATAATTAGAATTCATAGAAAATAAAATTCCCATTTGAAAGTTTCATGAGTGAAATTGACCCATGGTGAGTTCTTCTCCATTATTAGCGTGTTTAAGGAAGTATTTTATATACAGAAGTGATTTCAGCAATGCCCTGTCTTTTACTGATAGGCAGAAGTTGAAGAGGTTAGTGCAACTGGTAGTTTGCAGTAAAACAAACAATCCTAAATCACTTTTAATCTTTCAGAGAATTTCTGAAGGTCAAGGTTGAAATCATTGGCAGGAAAGAAGGTGAACAAAATGGTTTTGGCCCTGCCTGACTTATTTTGCTCTTAGATTTATGCTGTTCCTGTAGAGCCTTGGAGTGGAGGGAACTCAGATCCAGGCATGTTGTTGTTAGGTGCCATCAAGTTGGTTCTGACACATAGTGACCTTGTGCATAAGAAAACAAAACACTGTCCAGTTCAGCATCAACCTCACTGCCATTGATATGCTTGAGCCCATTGTTGCTGCCACTCTGCCAATCCATCTCATTGGGGCTTTTCCTCTTTTTTGGTGAGTCTTCACTTTATCACTCATGATGTCCTTCTCCAAGGACTGGTCCTTCCTGATAATATGTCTGAAGTATGAGAGACAAAGTCTCACTATCCTGGCTTCAAAGGA